GTGTGTGACGAGATGAAGAGTCTGCTGCGCCGAGTAGCGCACACGCGAGCGCCCTTTGGCGCAAAGCCCTGGGTGGGGGTCAGGGCCGCCGTAGGGCCTGGCAGGGAGGAGGCTCTTCTCTGCGCGGGTCCAGGGGCGGAGCCCCGGTAAGCTCTGGACTTGTTAGCAATCGATTTTAGCAGATTTAGAAACCTTCAAGATGGCCGATTTGAGGGAATCTGAAAAATATGGAGTATTGTAAGTGCATTTGTGAATTTCTGGTTATTTTTTTCTTTTGGGATTTTCCGAGGTTTAATAACACGCCCCCCCCCCCACAGACACACAACCTAGTGGCGGATCCAGAAGAAAATTCTAGTGTTTGGGGCGAAATTTCAGTGCGAGCTCAGGGCACGAAGCGCGTCCGGGGAGGGGGGTGTTCCTCCCCTCCCGTACTGTGTGGACATTGCTTAAAAAGTTGCAAATCTAAAAGCAATCAATTTTTGGATCTCATTTATCATAGAATATCAGGATTTTTTCTTCCTTCAGGGCTTGTTCCCCTCCTGTTATAGGGGGGGGGCCGGGATTTTTGTTGAAAGTAAACACTCTGTCGATGCAATTTCCTGCACTATGAGCGGCCAGCACTATTAAACAATCTTCATCACAATAACGATCCACTGTTGAGTTGCTGGTATTTTTACCTTCTGGCGCGACACAAAGCACGAAAGTAATACTTACTACCAAATCTGATGCTATGTACATGTCCTCACTGGGGTCTTACCAGTGCCGAAGACCTTATTAGGGCTAAAATACCTTGTTGCTTGAAATTCTGGCGCGGCCTGAGGGGCGACCGTGGCCCCCGTGCTACAAACCCCGCGTTGCGACGACTAGAGCACTGGAATCATCTCACCGTGAAATTTTGATAAAGGGTATTTTACTGAGAACGGTTAAAAGCTACCAAAAAAATATTCGAGAAAAACAACCAGATCTTGAAACCAAAAAGTGCACTTATTTTCACCCTTATACGAAATCGGAATATACTGCGCCGTCGGTCCTCACGTACCCCATCCCCCCCCCCCAAAAAGCAGATGATGAATGTGAATTTTCCATTAAGTGATAAATGGCAATATCTCAACTCTCGAATAGGTCTATTCTATTTGTGGAATAAAGCCACGGGATTAACTTTCGTCGAGGCAGTAATCAAGATAGGGATTTTGAAAAAAAATCGTATTGGGGAAATGCGGTCCAAAATACATCTGAAGTTTCATTAAAATAATTGTTATTCTTGGAATTGAGTTACAGCCTACGTAAAATACATTAGGTAGTTATGACATTAGCTCGATGACGCGATTTTGTAAAATATCCAGTAATTTTATTGTTTTTGTAAATATCTTTAATTTTTCTCCCCATTTTCTTCTCTGAAAGTTAGGGGGGACGGGAAAGCCAGCTCCCATTCTCAAATAAGTGTGGGGGGAGTCATACCCATCCTCCCGCCTTCTACGCCCCTGTTCAGATGAACTCAAATTATGATTTTTGATATGCATACAATATTTTCATAATCATAATCTTTGTTGCGAGTACCTCTACAGGCGCCGCCGGAACGATTATTTTGAAGTGGTTCAATGGGGAATGTTGCGTCTCAATGCTTCAATGCTCAATCGCCTCAATGCTCAATTTTCAATTTCTGCTCCCGCAATGTCATTTGTTTACGGCATCGGGGACCAGTGGGACAATGCAGTGGTTTTTCGAGTCGAGGCGTTCGGTAAGAAGCAGTGTCGTGTGATATGGGGTCCTCCCCCAGAAAATTTTTTGAACTCTCCGTCCATTTTCACCTCCTGAAAATAGGTGGTGGGGCCCGGGGATGAATTGAGGGTGCGGTGTTAAGGGTATTTTTCGTTGGAAACGTGGATCGGACGTTTTTATACCTCGGTGAATGTGAATTGCAATTTATTTGTCTAGTGACAACTGCTGTGAATGGGACCAGCCTTGCCGTGTAAGCGTGATTTAAAGCTTTTATCTTAGTTCTGTGAATACTGGATGATATAGAGGTCTTCTTTTTCTCCGGGAATGCTAGTCAAAGCACCAAATGCCACAAAATAGCCTAATTGTAAAAAAAATTTTCTCGGGCCTGCGGGTGTGCATGCCCGGCCCCCCTAGCTGCTAGCTCAGCACTATTGGAAACTGTCTAGGTCTATATCAACCTTATCTTATAGGGATATCATACTATATATATACACACACACACACCACACGCACAACACACACACACACACACACACACACACACGCCACAACACACACACACACAACACATGTATAAGCATGAACTACTGCGCAAGCATGTATTTTTTGATTATTCAGGAAGTGTTGTTAGTTTCAAGAAATACACTTGTATACTTCTAGGGACTTATGTTTATTGTGTTTGAAATTCTTATAGCGCGCCTCAAAACTGGGATGGATTATCCCGTGATCTGTTTGACAATGAGCATTATTTCTTTCACTGTGAAATGTGAAAAGAGTTATTTTCTACTGTGAACTGATGAACGACCTAACAGTACCCCCTGTTACTCTCCCCCCCACCCACCCCTTCCCCCTCATGATTGTACACGCCACCTCCCCCCAAAATCCGTAATAACGGTGGGGGGGATGCCGTATTCCCCCCATCCCCCCGCTATTCTACGCCCCTTATGGAATTCCCGGTATTTCGACCCGTAGGTTTGAGTCCGTATGGTTTGATGGCTGTTTGTAGATATTGTGGAGTCATGGCTTTTTCTGTTCTTTCTAATGCGGGTATTGGTGTGAGATGTTCAGGTGGGGCGAGAGTATTTTCTTTCATGCCCCGGCCTGCACGGAAATCCGCCCTGCGGAGCTTGTTGGTTGTCGCGGTGTGATTAAATATGCGCACTGACGGGTCTGCTCACTTTTATCTCGTTTGAGTAATGTCAACGCAGGTGTTCACTACTTGCGATCTTTGAGTTTACGCTGTGTCTGCCTATGTATCTGGCTGCGGGGCAAATTTTGCTGACAGGTGAGATTTCGTAGGATGAGGCGTTCGTGGTTGATTGCGCATTGTGAAGTATGTAGTGCGTGATGTATTTCCAGGCAGTGAGGCGGCCGTCGCATTGTTTTTTTGTTGTGGCTTTAGGTTTTTTGTCGCGTATGGATTGCTGCACGTTGTGCTGCGCCGTTCGTTGATGTGTATTCACCAGGCTTTCTATTTCTCGGCCTTTGTGAGGAGCCAGGTGATTTTTACAGTTCCCCGCGGGTAGATGTTATCTCTGCGCCTTAGTGCTCAGTGGTGGCCTTGGCATAGTTTATAGTTAGTAGGGCCATACCGTTCTTTGAATTGGTTCTGTCTGAGGGAGGTCGTGCCAGGCGACATGAAACTCTTCATCATGTTGCCGGACGACTGGGGCAGCATTTTTGTAAAATCCATTGGAGGGCGGGTGGTGTGATGTGTCTGTCTCAGGCTCTCTTTCCAAACGGATATGTTGAGTTCGTACCTTTGAAGCTTATCTTTATGGTTCCGCAGTAAGATATATATAGTATTATTTATGTAATATTGTATTCAACTCTATTTCGTCCATTACACAGATAGTTTGTGGTACATATAGATATCCCAGTGTAATGTTTCAATGTATGCTCATAATGTATACTATAATATATTGTATTATATATTGTATAATCAACCAGCCTTTACAAGATACCCATCTTGACCGATTTGCATCGGTTATCGTTTTCATGAAGGTCGCCCAATTATATAGCAACCTACGTATGTAGGCAAGCAACTAATATTAATTTGTTATCTGCAGGTAATGTCAAGTGGGATCATAATTTATCTTCCACCTTCTTCAGCTGGTTTTTCTGAGTCCTTTGCTGGCAATGGATTTGAGATGGATGATTTGAGATGAATAACGTCACAGATTCATCACAGAGCACAAGTTTTCTGTTTTCGACAGATGGCAATGACAACTGATGAAAAAGGTCCCGGTTTGGGAGCACCAGTGATGTGTATGAGAAAATCTTCAAGCAAGGGGAGGTGCTGACATGCACTGTCCACGGTGCCAGTTACGCCACTCGACCGTGTGGCAATTCACAACTAAATAACAATAAAATCTTAGTTTAATTACTACAATGTCTTATAATTGCTGAGTGATTGAGTGAATTGAGTGTCCCATGATCTGTGAAC